ATATAATATATATAAAGGGCTTTATATATATATATATATATATATATATATATAAAGGGCTTTATATAAAAAAAAAAAATTTGTATTTAAAGCATCAAAAACAGCTGTAAAGAAAAGAAAAATAAATATTATTAGGCACCCAATTTAATTTAAGTGAAAACGAAAATTATTCAAATCTTCCTGACATTGTAAGAATTTCCCAAGATATTCAGTGTTGCACAAAGTTTTCTCTAAAAGCAGTGTAAAATCAGTTACACTTATATGGGAAACATGGCAAAAATGATAAAAAGGCAAAATGATAAGAAATTAGATATGGGGAGAGCGATTGTGAAAGCATCCAAGAAAAAAAATGCCGGGATGCAGGAAAGTGACCGCCTGACGATAACTGACTAGTAGCAGGTCTTGTTTACAGAGCTAAAGTAGAAGCTATAAATGACTGAGAAAAAAGTGTGTATTGGTTCCACGGAAGGAACATTTAAAACTAGATACTATAATCACAAACTTTCTTTTCAGCTCGCATGATAAAGAAACCGCACAAAATTTGCTAGTTATGCATGGAAAGTAAATCGGGGAAATAACAAAAGTTACATTGTGAAGAATGTCTTGAGAAAAACCGGGTTATTTAACGTCAGGAATAAGATATGTAAATTGTCAAGAGTTAAAATTGGCGATTATGCTCTACCAGGGGTTCACAACTTTTTTTGGCGCCATCGCCTTCTTTCGCATAGGAACATTTTCCATCACCCACCTGCATTGTAAATATTCAAAATAATTGTTCTGTCTCTGTCTCTACTATAAAACTGTTACAGGGCCTATGTCTGTAACCGGGTTTGGGTGATGTTCATGCTAGTTTCTTGCAGTTTCCTTCCCGTAAAGGTTGCATATTTTCCAGTGCAGATATTGGCCCATTCTGTCATGCCGAGAGTTATATTCAGTGAATGCTAACACCGTGAAACCTGATACAAGATGGTCAATTGTTTCTAGATATTTATCACAGAATCTGCATTTCGGGTTAATACAATTATTATTATTATTATCATTTTAAATTTACCCCAAGGAAGGCAATAATGCCACTAAGACGCAAGGGGGTCTACTGGGAATGAAAAGACTTTAGAAGGAACAGGAAACCCCATCCTAATTTATTTTTCTCCTCAACAGGAGTAGATAGGTTCGCCTATAGTCCGGTTAACACACCCCCTTGGCCTTTTGGACAAGAATAGAGGTTTATCTCTTGTTTGCTTTTTAGGATAGTGTTTCCAGTTCCTCACAAGAATCTCATGTTAAGCATTTCATAACCATTGACCTTTTTTTATTTATTTTCTTGTTATTTGTACGGAAGACTCAGTTTTATTATGTGGTTCTTTTAAACTTTTAGTTGTAGAATCTTGTTTTCTCACAAGTAAGAAACTCGGACAGCCTCGTTGTTGATATGTAAGTACATTTTTAAACTTGTTTATGACCTTTTCTTAAGTTCAATCAAAAATGTGCAGTATCGATAATTAAAGGACTAACATTCCTCTTTAGCTAACGGACGTATACTGCCACATCAGGTTGAAATTACGATTACGTCCGACCACAGAGGTTAAGCAACGTTGAGCTTGGTCAGCATTTTCCATTGCAATAGCGATAGAGTAATGAGAGGATCGCCACATCCCACTTGTAAGAGAGAGGTTGGATGGTGGAAAATAATTTGTTACCTACAAGGGACTCGGAGACGCTTTTGAACTCTATCGTGGCTGGAGAGTGAGGTCTGGGCAGCGCCCGCCCAAATTAAGGAAGTGTCAATTAGGATGATACATTCATTATTACCATTGTTCCACCGAAAATGGAAACGGATAACCCCTCAATGGGTGACCACTTGGGAATAACAGATGCTGTAAGTTTGCATGTATGTGTACTGTAATGGATAACGGGTCGGAATTGAAAATCTGAGAGCTAAGTTCCAATTCCAGTCAAGTTCATTATACTCACATAAGGGCGAATACCCTTGGGGAAAGTATGAATGAACCTCTTCCCCTCATCCAACTACGGGTTAATTAGAAGGACTTGAATCAGTAAATCATTATTATCACCCCCAATTCTCACAATCTAAAAATATTTCCTGGCTTTAAATAACCTGCAAAAGGTTTATAAGTTGTAAAAAACAAATCAATCAATTTTGCTTAAACAGGAAAATTTATTTGTTTCTCTAATGAAAAGCATTCCAAACAAAACAGAACGAATACGTCGCCTTCTTCTACGTTCCATATCACTTCAGAAGATCATGGCTCTCCGCGATGTCATATGCGTTGTTGCTCTTAATAAATTTTGTCTTTTTCATATTTCTCCTAAGCCTTGCTCTGCCATCCATTTACTCAAGGTGGGTTATGTGTTGCTTTCTTCGGCCTCGTTTGCCCTCAATCTGTCATGTGAGTATCAAATTTTCCAAGCCCTCTTTCCTCATTATGTGCCCTAGAAAATTTCAATTAACTCTTCTTGATATTAAGTATAAGTTGTGGAGAGCCACGATCGACCATATCTCGAAATGACTTGGCATATAAAAGAAATGAGAGGATGGCATAATATGGACAAAATTGGATGAAGAGTAAAAATTATTTAGAACAAAAGGCAGGAAGTTGTGGAGAGCCTAGCTCTCCTACATCATGTAAAGATTTTGATTGGACGGCATAACAGAAACAATGTAGGATCATAAAATGTTAAAAATTACTAATTGCAGCAAAAGATAGGAATTTGTGGAGGGCTATAATCGCTTACGTCCTGATATTGTATGGCATATAAAATGAAACTCCTTGGTGTTTTTATTGCATATTTCTTCTTCTATGTTCTGTGCCTCTTCAGGATGTTCTCGATCATGGCTTTCCACAGTTTGTAGCTAGACGTCGATAAATTTTGTCTTTTTGTTATCGCTCCTAAACCCTGTTCTGGTATCCGTTTGCTCAAGCTCGCTAGACAGGGGTTATCCGATTCCGTTTTGGGTGAACCAATGGTAATGATGAATGCATCATTCTATCCGGGCGGAAGCTGCTCAGACCTCACTCTCCAGCCTCGAGTTCAAAAGCGTCGCCGAGTCCTTGTAGATGACTAATTATTTTCCACCCTCCAATTTCTCTCTTACAGGTGGAATATGGCGAGCTTCTCAATGCTCTGTCGCAACTTCCATGGAAAGTGCTCAGACGAACTACATTCCTTGATTCCGCCAGTTTAAACCTTCACGGCTAGGACCCGCCATTTCCACTCACAATTGTAGAGATCCACCCACATTTCTTTCGTATTTCCATTGGTGAAAAGTAAGTTCCACTCGAACAGATTCTTCTGGCGAACCACTGTCTTATGGAACAGACTCCCGAGAGGATGCTTCCCTGATCACTACAGTCTTAACCTGTTTTAAATCTTGAGTTAACCATTGATGAGGTTTTCTTTTCCTCTCTTGTCGAACTCTCTGGGCGGAGAGGAACCCAGAGGAGCCTATGCCGAAGGGCAGGCACACTTTCGTTTGAGGAGGTAGACAAACTCGAGGTCTACGGGGAATTTTTTCCAGAGCCTACGGGCTCGGAACGCCCCACGTTAAAAAAACTGGCCTTGTGCCACTTCTCTCCTTGTGGAGAGATTGGTAAATAGAGAGTTAACCGTTAACTCTCTTTCCTATCCATATAAACTACCCCTTAACGTAACCGTCTACTTCAAGTGGCCCCCGGGCCTTATGCAAGGTGAACCTTACAGTAAAAAAGTGATGAAAAATGGGTTGCATATGACATTGTTCAACGTATAATTCAGTAGACAATGATAAAACTTCCAAACTGACTCAAAAGTTGAGCACCATATTCGAAAGGTAATGTTGTACGTGTGGTGGGATGAAACATTACAATTTTCTGTCTCTTGTAGCTCGAAGTATAGCTAATCCCTACTTTGCCATCCATTTTGTTATAAAGTAGCGTTAATATTTGCTGGTTAGTTTGACTGCAAGGAAAACACTGGAAATACATAAATTGACTGAAGAAAAGGTTAATCACATGACAACATGGATTGAGGATAAAACAGTTCAGTGCGCCATACGTGCGACTAAAAAGTGCTACGCCTTTGCGACCTACTTTTTTGCCCCTGTTTCATGAGCAGACGTTCTACACATAACGGGTGAATGAATCCATGTTTCGATAATAGATGTAGAGAAGGTTAGTCAGTCTTTCTACACAAGCTCGTTAGGCAGGGGTTGTGCGCTGTTTTCCTCTCCCCTTCTTGCCTTCAATATGTCCTGTGAGTGTCAAATTTTCGAAGCCGTTTTTCCTCATTATTTGATCTGCTGTTAAGTATAACTATTCTTTTTGTTTCCATTTTCTCCGTTCAAACTACTCGACTATAAAAGAAATGGTCGAACCTCACTTATGGTCAGTAATCAAATGGCATTGAAATAAGCTTTGCTAAAAGCTTTAACGTTCGTCTGTTTTTCTTTGCATATACTATCATTTGGTTTTGATTTTGCAAACCGGGATAAACTCATGACTTTTGGTCCTTCTGTGTTACCATACACAAACATTGACAAAGAATTCATGCAGAGAACTCGCAGTTAAAATAATAAATTCAATTTTCATTGGCCAGCGTATGAGATTTTTAGACAAGGTCCTTTTAAGGCTTTCACAAATCAATAAATCTTTATCAGGAATGGATTATTTGTTTGTTTTTGAAAACATTATTACTTCAGCCATCTTTTTCGGTCGTTAGCGCCGTTAATGTTGTTTCCTTTCTTTTTCTTTTCCTCTTCTTTTCTCCTGTTACTCCTTTTCGGTTTTCTTTTACTTTTTCTTAAAGCTTTGCATTCTACCGAACAATTTTCTTCTTGAATTTTTTCTTCTTATTTATTTATCATGGTTTTTCCTTTCTTCCATGAGATTCTCTTTGTGGCGATTTTATTTATAAATTCATTTTCTTCTTTTTTTCTTCAGTCTGTTCTGCTTTTCTTTCTTTCTTTCTTTCTTTCTTTCTTTCTATTTTTTTCTCTTTGAATAATGTGCATTATAATTTTCACTTTTTATATCTTCTGTTTATTCCTTTCTTACTCATTCTTCTCCATATATTTTTCTTATCATTTCTTTCTTTCTTTCTTTCTTTTAGTTTTTCATTTGAGTTTAAATTCATTCTTTTTACTTCTTCTTTTTCATTTTTATTCTTCCTCTCCGCCAATTTCATATCCTTTCTTTTTTTTCTTTCTTTCTTTCTTTCTTTCTTTCTTTCTTTCTTTCTTTATTTATTTATTTATTTATGTATTTATTTATTTAATTTCACACCCATTGATCCGTTTTGATTTCTTTCTCTCTTTTCTTTTTCTTTCTTTCACTGACAATTATTCTGTTCCATTTAAATTTTTAATCTTAATTCTTTTTCCTTTTCTTTTTTCTGTCTCCTTCAATGTCTTTCTTTCTTTCTTTCTTTCTTTCTTATCCGCTTTTCTACTTAGTGTTATTCTTTTATTTGTAAATATTTACTTTTTTTATTTCTTTTTCTTTTTCATTTCTCTTTCATCTTCATATACTTTTCTTTCTTTCTTTTTTCCTCTTATTTTTCCATTTTTTTTCACAACTTCCGACTACTTTTCATTTTACTTTCCTCCTTTTTTCCCCCACATTTTCTTTCGTTTCTCTTAATAGCTTTTTTCCTTTTTCTTAATTTTCTTCCAATTTCTGTCTTCCGATCTCTACTTGCCATTACGATTTTCTTTCTTGTTTTTCTTCTCGATCATTTCGTTTTTGTTTTTTGTTTTTTATTATTGTCTTTTTCTCTATTTACTTAATGTCGTCAACTTTGAATTATCTCTGTTCCCTCTCATTCAACTTCGTATGTCTTTTATTTTTTCAACACTGACATCATTCCTTCCAGAAATGTCTTAGCCTGCACACAAACACACACACACACACACTCTCTCTCTCTCTCTCTCTCTCTCTCTCTCTCTCTCTCTCTCATTCACAAACAGATACGTTTGCACATCGCACACAGAACTAATAAAGCAAACAAAATAACTACACACACCTGGACAGATTCATCTAAATAGCCAATAGCATATTTTTAGATATGCTTGTTTTCCCATACTGCATTTACGCATACACACGAGCGAGCGCAGATATCTATACGCCAATAAGACGTCATAAATATGGCGCACAATGGCGTCCAAGAATGCGCATGCGTAGATACACACGCACAAATTCAATCAAACTCAAGTATGTCGCAGCTCATCGACACAGAAGATTCTATCACATCTCTGTACACATATCGCTAAGCGCAGCATATCAAGTATCCTTATGTATCTTCACACATATACGCGCACACACAAGAAAATACAAATCTGTATACGAGCACTAACATAATAACATGAGAAAAAAAATAAAAGAAAGAAAAGCACTCACGTGGTATGAAAAAATACATGATTTATTGCAGATGACCGACTGGACAATAAAAATTTGGTATTTTTATGATTAAAAATTTAAGAAAACTATCAAACAAATTAAATATTCGTAAAATCAATATACAATAATATTCGCATGATTGAAAAATAGATATTTTTGACCCAGATTTCAGAAAAACAGATTGAAATAAATATTTGGGTTTTTTTTTTTTTGTTTTTTGTTTTTTTGGAGGGGATTGTTTTTTTTTTTGTTTTTGTTTTTTTTATTGCAGATAGTTTCCTATCTTTTCATTTTGGATTTATGACACAAGCTTTTTTTTATAGAATGATTCTTTTGAACATGGGTTTACGGCCTCATTACGTTGAACCACAGGTTCTCGTACGATTACCGAAGTTAAGCAACACCGAGCCTGGTCAGTGCCTACATGGGTGACCGCTTGGGAATATCAGGAGCCCATAAAGTCGTTTTGAACGGTCTCGTTTCCAGATCCTTTCACACGAATGCGGCTGTCCCTCAAGGATCTATCCTGGGTCCTACGGTGTTTCTGATCTTCATCAATGATCTTCCTGATGTCATCACTTCTCAAGTAGGCATTTATGCTGATGACATTACATATGTCTCAATAGCAAATCTGCCAGAGCTGAAAATGTTCACCTGGCTGCTGCTCTTGAAAACGCCTCCAATCTGTGGTTAACTGGGGCAAGAAATGGCTTGTAAATTTTAATGCTTCCAAAACGAAACTGCTCTCCTTTAACCACCATAGAGAAATTTTCCTGTCCGCCATCAGCATGGATGAAGCTAGACTCATGGAGAGCAACACACTGCGCCTTCTTGGCCTCACTTTTTCAACTGACTTGAAGTGGAACGTTTACATCAAATCAATAGCTGTATCTACTGCAAGGAGAGTTGGATCACTGTGCCGTGCCAGAAAATTTGTTCTCGGCAGAATCCATTTTTCATATTTACAAACCTCCAATTCTTCCGTGCATTGAATAATGTTGCCATATCTGATCAAGTGGTCGTGCTACTCATCTTGAGGTTCTTGACAAAATCCAAATAAGTATCTGCAATGTAATCGATCCTGACTTGGCATCTCGACTTCAGTCACTTTCTCACCGACATGACATGGCTACCCTTTATCTTTCTACAAACATTTTCATGGCAACTGCTCTGACGAACTTTTTTCCATTATGCCCGGACTACGTGAGTTTAAGTGTGCTACTAGATTGGCATTTAGGTCCCACACTTTTACTTCGAATTAGGTAAATATTACCGCCATTTCTACTCCAAGAGTTTACTTTTTCACACTTCCCGCCTATGGAACTCCATTTGCTTGCTTTTCTGATAATTACAATCTTCAAAGAATTTAAATGCAACGTCAATCGCAATCTTCTATCTTCTTGAACCCCGTTCAGCTTTTATCCTTTCCTCAGTATCCCCCCCCATACTCAGTCATTTCCTCCAAACTTCACTTTCTGTGACCACGTGCGTACTAGTGGCATTCCCGCCTTTCTTGGGGTGAAATGATACAAAGTATATATATCAGATGTTGAACGACCGGTTCACGTACGATCACCAAAGATAAGCAACGTCGAGCCTGGTCAGTTCCTAGATGAGTGACAGCTTGAGAATAACAGGTGCTGTAAACTTGGATATGTGGGAGGGGAGGTTAATGGATAATGGCTCGAAACTCTTAATCGCATTTCAATACATAATTTAAAAAAAAAACTTTTTATAAAGTTACCCATTTACAGCCTGTTTCATACATAGGAATTTCTGTATACATACATACATACATACATACACACATACAAAGGTAACATCAATCAGCATTTGACAAGCTTTTACTCATATTAATCCAATATATATATATATATATATATATATATATATATATATATATATATATATATATTTTTGAAATTTACCATCGAAAAGGAGTCTAATCCTTGTCTCTCTTGTCTTGATGTCCTTGTGCATCGGACTCCTTCTCAATTTCTTTTTTCGGTGTTTCGCAAACCAACGTTGTCTGGTCTGTATACGCGTTGTGACTCATTTTGTCCCAGAAAGCGTAAAATCAATCTCATCAAGACCTTAACTCATAGGGCCTTGATGATTTGCAGTGAACAATATTTGGATGAAGAATTGAATTTTATCCGCTGCATTCTATTAAAACATGGATATCCTAGTGATACTCTTGACAGTGTCATGCGTGATTAAATTATTAATTTTCGAAAGGAAAAACAATACTTAGTTCAGAAATGTCCTATTTACTTGCGGCTTCCTTTTATTGGTTCGCGGGCCGAACTTGTGGCTAGGTGCGTCTTGTCTGCTATTCATCTCTGGTATTTTTCTGCTCAACTAAGGATTCATTTTGCGACTCGTTCTGCCTTTTCCTCTATCCGTAAGGATCCTCTTCCTCCCCATCATGTTTCTTCCGTGATTTATTCTTTTAAATATGGTTGTGGTAGCAACTACATAGGAAGGACTTCCCAATGTTTAGATTGTAGAATCAAGCAGCATGAGTTCTTAATCCGGATGCCCGTATGACCCACAACTGGTTAATACTTCCGGGTCAGTGATCACTGAATATTTGATAAATTGCAGGGATTGTGCGAAGATTTTCAGTCCGAATTGGTTTACTGTACTGTCCAGTTCGCACTCTCCATTTCATTTGAGGGCACTTGAGTCTCTGTATATTCGGTCCAGGGAGCCGTCTCTTTGCAAGCAAAAAGACTGTCTCCTTGGGCTTCACGTTATTAGACTCTAGTGTTTATCATACATTCCCCTCACACTCCCCATTTTTTTCCTTTGCGCTGTGCAAATTCGCGCGGTTTGATTTTTCCCCCTCATACCATTAATCATTACATTCTTTAATGTTTTAATTGTATGTAGGGTGTTTGTGTGAGTCAATATATATTGCAATAATTGTTAAATTATTCCCAGTCGACCCTGATGAGCTTGGGAACGAAACCGGTTGGTCTGTTCTGTAAGTGTTATCATCTCTTATTTTTTTATTTTTCATAATGCCTCTAGGAAATAAATAAATGTATCTATTCCTTGCAATATTACGTTTCTGTACCTCTAAATTTATTTATTATATATATATATATATATATATATATATATATATATATATATATATATATATATATATATATATATGATTATATTGAATTCTAGATTCATACACACATATCAAATCAGATCAAACCAGATGATATATATATATATATTTTATATATATATATATATATATATATGAAGAAACATACTTTTAAGGTGTGCTATATTTATGGGATAAAGTGCTCAATATCAGAGATAGAGCGTATGTAAATATAAATAAAATATGTGAACATTGAAGTCAACACTTAGAGGCGACAGGCTGTTTCATGCTAGACGCAATCGTCAGGCCGCGAGTGTTGGATTTTTCTCGACTATTTATATATATGGGTCAGTGGTGCATTGTGGGTAATTCATTCTGGCCATTATTTTGGCGGAAGTGGCTTGTTTCATTTTTCATTTTATATATTTATTTATTCTTTTCGGTTTTCTATGTTTTATTAAAGTAGTAAAAATTGCTTAGGTCACTTATTTAATAGTTTGTTTTGGTCTGGGAATAAAACGCTATTTATTCGTCCAATTGTTGGATTGATTGCCGTAGTCTATTCTGCTATTTTATTTCGTTTGTTTACTCAAATACGAATGGCTGTGTGTGCGCGCGCGCACGTGTTGAGAGAGAGAGAGAGAGAGAAAGAGATAGTAAGAGAAAGAGTGATAGTAAACAGAGTTTGAGAGAGGCGAATAGTGCTGTAATACGTAACTATCATTGGACCTGTAAAAATGGCTGGCCTTTTGGAGCTTCACTTTTGTTACGAATTAGAAGCTGTGCGCATGTCTAGAATCAGTACAGATTGGTGTATGTTCTCCCTTGTGTGTGTGTGTGTGAGTGTGTGTGCGTGTGTGTGTGTGTGTACGCGCGTGCTCTTGTGTGCGTGTGTGTTCTTGTGTGTATGTGTGCGTGCATGTTTATGTGTGCGTGCATGTAAAGCTGATCTGTGTAGCGATACATGATATGCTCCGCTTAACGTGTATTTAGCGATGTGATGTGTTATATAAATGCCTTTATCAAAATTATCCCAGGATTTGATAAAAAGAACTTCCTGTGTTCAACTATGTATCTGTTGAGAATGTCCATCAACTTTGCTTTCATCTGATCAATCGAATTACGCGGATTTACTTAGTTAGATTGGCTTGAGCGTTTCTTTGATGACATAAACACGGAGTTGATGGCACCTGAGTCATTATCAACAGTATCAGTCCCAAGATCAGGCGTGGTTGTAATGTCGCTGAGTTGCCGAACACCTGGACAGTCCCTTTCACGTATATGGGTTGAAAGACAGAGAAATATTAATTTATGTGTAGCGAGTCTTGGGCAAATAGATTTGAAGGTCAAATCACAGCCGATGCCCTTCAACTTGAAGGTTTACCTTAGTAACGGACACGTAGCTGCTGACACCATCGGGTAACCCTCCGCCTTGGCCGTTGACTTCAGTCTATGACAGCCTTCTCCCTGCGATGACATCTCATCACTGGACTGGGTGCATAACACCCGGTTCATGCTCTTCCCGGTCTTTTGAACAGGAGTAGAGGTTTATCCTTTGTTCCCTGTTTAGGATCGGGTTTCTGGTTCCTTTTAAAGTTTTTCTTTTCATTCTCTTTCACTCCCAGGAGTCCCTTGCGTCTTAGTGTTATTAATGCCTTGTGTGGAGGGAACTGATTAATATATATATATATATATATTTATATATATATATATATATATATATATATATATATATATATATATATATATATATATATATTGTATAGGGCAGAAGATCATTATTCAAACATATATTGTTAAATATAACAGATAACGAATGTTTATTATGTTTTATCAACAAATTAAAATGTATCTCAATAAACTTAATAATAACACTGACAAAATTGATATTATTAATAATAACTGAAACCCCGATTGTGTAGGTCAAAATAAATATAATACTATTAACTTATACTATTGTTACCAAATGCATGATAATTACAAACAGGATGAAACAAAAGTATCTCTGATACTAATAATAAACCCATAATAAACCCACTAAATACATTGGTTATACTACAACGACACTCTCCTGTAGACTAACCTGTCACCTTTCTGATCTTAGTTCCATGAAACAACATTTCTTAGAAAACCATAGCTATATACACAATATTAGACAGACGTTAGTTGATAACACAATAGTACTCACGTATACACACAGTAAAAAGAACCTTAAGATATTAGAGACCATCAACATTAAAACAAGGCAGACCACACTCAACAAAATTACATTTCAAACCAGTCACGCCATATTACAATGCATTTAAACACATGGTTTCGTTGATAACATTTCTTCTATCATATATGA